TATATATATATATATATACGCACAGTTCGACTTCTATTTAATGAACTTCCATTTTAGGAATTTCTCTATTATGCAATTTTTTTTGGAGGAACCAAGAACAAATTTTGGAAATTTCTTCGTAAAATAACTTCCAAATAGCGAAGTGGATTTTCTATTTAGCGAAATTTTCTTTCAGATCCACTTTCCCTATTTCCCAAAATATTTCAGAACATTTCAAACTTGTTAACATATTTTATGATGGAAATGACCTTGAATTGATTTTCGAAGCCATTTTTAGAGAGAGCAGTAAAATCCCTTTACCTTCTTGTTTTCATTTCGAATGAAAAACTCCAACAAAATTAACGGATTTTATCAGTAGCAATTGCAATCAAACTTTAGAACGCATGTTAAAATGCATGTTTAAAAATACTTTGCAGTTATAATTTTATACAGCAAATAAATGCAGCTATAAGTTTATACATAAATTTAGCTTCTTTAAATTGAAAAAAGTATGTAGCATGATAGTGTAACACTAGATAATGTTTAGCTCTATTATGCAGATTTCTTTTATGGCTAAGATTTTTAAAATAAATAGTAGATACTAGTTTACAAGATAAAGGTGTATCAATTGCTATTTTAATTATGACTAGTTTTTATGATTTTAAAACCTGTTTTGCATTGCTTAAGTATTTCAAAAGGTGATTTTCTATTTAAAAAATTTTCTATATAAAACTTATTATCGGGATTTAGCAACTTCATAAAATAGTGGTTCAACTGTGTGTATAATATAGATATATATGTAACTTGCCCTTTTTTTAAACAGGCAAAGAGTGTTCTTAAAATTAATGATTATTTTTATTAGAAAACCTAGAGAACTTACCTTTTAAAAGCATATTTGTTTTCCACCATAAAAAAATATTCATGGTTCTTGAAAATAAGTTTGAATATACAATCTCCAGAAACCAAATCATTACTTGAAGTAGTCATTATTTTGTAACCTGCTAAAGGAAGGCTAGCTAGGGGACTTTCATCCTGCAAAAAAAAAAAAATCAATGCATTTCAACACATCTGTAATTTAGCTATAACAGATTTTCTCTTCTTTTTACATTGCGTTATTATCCAATTTTGTATTCGCACAACATATATATTTTTCTGATAAATCTATGAAATTGAATTCAGATTAATCAAAGAAGTACTAAAAATACTGTGATAAAATATTTAATTTTAAATTTGATGAAAAAAACTTTTACTTTGCATTAAATTTCACAATTATTGAGTATAACTAAATATCTTATGATGGTGGCCTTCAACTATGAAGAAAAAAAAACTATTAGTAACAGAAAATCTATAGATTAAAATCTATATTTTTATTTATTTATTTTGCTTTTTTTTAATCGGTACATCTTAATTTTCATAATGCATAGGATATACACAGCAGCAATACTAAACATAATATTAACTTACCAGATATGACCGGTAGAAAAACAAACATAAGTTTGCCAGCACAACCCACACTTTTTGCCAACCACTGCTATTCTTAAATTTCCTCAACAGATATCCACTAAGACTATTCTGAAATAAAATTCAATTGAATAAAAAGTAATACAATGATAATAAAAAATAATAACACGCCATAAAAAATAATATGTAATAGGAATTTTAAGAGGTTAGTATTTATTTTAAGAACATTTTCTAAGTTTTTTTTTCTTTAATTTCATTTAAACTCATTTAACATTACTTTATTAACATAACATTTAACATTACAACAATCAGTAACTGAACTTAATGTAAAATAATTAAAAGTTTTGTTTTTTATTTTTTTAAAATTCATACAACATTTTTCATTAATTATATTCTTAATTTCCTCTTTTTCCAATTTCTATTACAACTAACTATTTTAGTAGTCAATGTTAACAATAACAGTAATTTTAGGTAATTACAATAAATAATCCCATTATGAAAAACAGAATTAATTAATATAATTTATTAATTATGAACTACAGTAGAGCGCCGATTATCCGAACTGCTCGGGACCGAACGTGGTTCGGATAATGAAAAGTTCGGATAATTGGACGGTTGTTACTTATGCACTAACTTTCCTTCACACTTTTTCCAGGTTTAGGACTGGCAGTACTATCGAAAATAGCTCTGTTTAAAAAAAAAAAAATTCAATTTTTAAATATTTTTATTTAATTTTTTTAATTTTGAATTTTTTTTAATCATACTTCAGCTGTTTATAATTTTTTTTGTCAGTTGCTGATTTTACCACATTTTTCTTTATTTTCCATTGAAAAAGAAATCCAGCAAAGACTTTTGTTTCAAAGATGCTCTTTTTTGAGCAGCGATATACCTTATTCTTTTTAAATAAATCAACTGAACATCAACATCATTTTGACGTTCTAGCCAATTCATAGCAATATCTAATGAATTGCATGCTTCTAGATGAGAAGGTTCACTATCTTGAACTTAATCATCTATTTTTTCCTATTCGTCTGTGGAGTTCCGATTTTCGTTCAAAATTTCAACAAACAATTTCATCATCATTTAAAATTTGAAATTCTAGGACGTTTTCAGTGTCTCGATAGCAGCCTTCCATTTCTTCTGCTGCATAACCTGGCATCTCTTCAGCCGGAAGATCTACTGGCTCAGAAATTTTGAAAAATTGTTGATAAGTCAAAAATTATTCTAAACTTTAAAAAAAAAAAANTTCCGATTTTCTTTCAAAATTTCAACAAACAATTTCATCATCATTTAAAATTTGAAATTCTAGGACGTTTTCAGTGTCTCGATAGCAGCCTTCCATTTCTTCTGCTGCATAACCTGGCATCTCTTCAGCCAGAAGATCTACTGGCTCAGAAATTTTGAAAAATTGTTGATAAGTCAAAAATTATTCTAAACTTTAAAAAAAAGAAAAATGAATTCAGATCGGATAATCGGCGCTCTACTGTATTAACAAAACAATATTTCTACACACTAAATACTTTAAAATACTTTTAAAAAAATCCTTTATTTTATCCTTAATATAAAATCCTTTATTTCAGTCAAAAATAATTTTTATCAGGATAATTTATAATTTTTAAACTTAAAGTTGAGATTTCTTAAAAATTTGATTTTATTTAGTTGGAAAGTTTTATCCAGAAAAATAATTTATAGATAGAAATGTATATAAATTATTATTTAATTTTCAAAATAGACTGAAAAAGTAAAAGACTAAATGAGGATTGAGGAAATGTGTAACTTATAATTTATATGTTTCCATTAGCTGAATGCAATATAACTTGCTATTTAATAAACATATTTCAATTGTACAAATTTAATTATACGTTTATTTAAATATGAATACTTTTAAAATATAGGTCATGTATATAAAAAAAATTTTTTTTGCCATAAATAATTTAGAATTACTGATTTTTTTTTTTAATGTTTCCTCATCTAATTTAATTCATTCTGAATGTAATATGTTATTGACAAATTGAGTCTTCGTCTTTACAAATTCAAGAAAGTATTGAACTTGACTAAAAACTTATTATATAAATAATAACTGTCAACTCTGCAAAAAATAGCCATTAGAAAAATACGTAATCGTAAATTTTCATGGCTAGCTTCGTTTTTAATTAAAATTTTTGTGAAATTTTCGTTTGTTGCAAGATATTTCGCATAAGAACGGGTACCCCTGCTAAACTGTTCCTGTACCCCTGGGGGTACGCGTACTACACTTTGGGAAACACTGCACTACACGGAGAAAAATAGTTCTGAATAAATTTACCTTCATCGAAAGATACAAGTCAGCACAACTGATGCTTATGTTTCGATGCCAACAGATATGAATGGACGTGTTAATATGTTGGCCAACATCTCTTATTTCCTCTTCCTCCTCCTCTAGGGAAAAGGGGGATGATTTGCAGGGCAGCTGACTTGCAATAGCATTCTGCAAATCCCTCATCCATTTGGTATGCTCTTCCGACGAGGGTGAAGCGAGGTATAGATGTTTTTCAGGACTGCATAAAATAAAACAATGAGTAAAACCAAGCTTATCCCCAGTTTCTTGTATTTTCAAGCTTTTCAGAGGAAATAAGCCTTGAACTTTGAAGGAAAGTCGACCATCGTGAGTACGGAGAGTGCAAAGCAGGATATCACTGAACTGAAAAATTAAATATCGTAAAAATCTATGAAGATAAGTTACAAAGTGATAACAATTTATAAATTGATATTTTTCTAATTAACTTAAAAAAGTAGAATATTAAAAAAGTCTCTAAGCAGGAGTTTTTTGTATTTTTATGCTTTTTAAAGGAAACAAAATTAGATTAAAAAAAAAAGATAAAAAATTAGAGTAAATGATAGAACTATTTCATAATATATAATATACAATTATGTTTTTTGTTTAGGTTTGTATTTAATTTCAGATCACAAAAATTGGTCAGCTTTAAAAGAAGAGAAGAGTTTGTTTAAGACGCTTGTTTTGTCTAATTTATTACTCAACATTAAGAGTAAATCATTGATAGCATCAACTTTAGTGTAACATGAGGTTGTATCCTCATAAAGAACACTCTAAATAAAAGCCTCACACAAATATTTTGAATACATTTTAATTGATTTACTTGTTCAGTTAAATTGTTGGTATTGATATTTTTTCGTGTTTTCTTATTTGACCTTTTCGGCATTTAGTGTAGATGTTTGCCCAGTTGCCGAGGTTTTAATGGTCTCTCCTAAAAGTTTCTTCAACAAAACTCCATGTCTCCAAAAAATGGTCCCAAATAGAGGTGGTCTTTCCTGGAGGTTACACTGTTTTTATATATATNTATAAATTTTTGTGTGGATCTTATATCAACTGCATGTTTACAAGAGTAAATTTTGCTATATGTTTGAGTTAGTAAAATTTTTCCAATAATAATCTAAAAATGTTTTAGTTGGAGGGATATAACTTAGACACATTCGTTGTAAAAATCTTGACTTCTTAAATTTTTTTCTTAGCTCTTTAAATGCTTTAACCATGGTTTTATTCTATCTTTCTTTTAAGCATTATTCTATAATTTTCAAATAAATTTAAAAATGTTTTTTGTATTTTATTTTTTCTACTACTTTGCAAATTCGAATTTTACTATAGGTTTGGGCAAGCATTATTTTAACAATCTCAATGTCCAAACTTAAATTGCGTTTGAGTCACACACAAATTTTGAATTATTAAGAGGTGATTCATAATGGTTTGATTCTGCAGAGTGGCTCAGAAAATTCTGCTACTAGGCTCATCCGGTTAAACTGTTGGTCACATTTCACACACCCTTATCAATACTTATTTTTTTTTTTTAATAGTGATCCATCCAAATCTATGAAAAATTACATTTTTATTTACATAAACTATGTTTTCCTATCATATTTTATACATACCTTTTTTTAACCTAAAATAATAGTAATAATAATGATGAAGATAATAATAATAATAATAAAACAATAATAATGAGTCACAGACAAATTTTGATTCATAAAGATGGTGTTACAGTTTCGCTCAGATAGTTCAATTACTGGGTTCATCTGGTGAAACAATTGGTCACATTTTACCCTTATCAATACATATTAATTTTTTTAATAGCGATCCATCCAAATCTATGAAAAATTGCATTCTTATTTACTAAAACTATGTTTTCCTATTGCATTTTATTTATCATACCTTAATACCTAAAATAATAATAATAAAAATGAAATGTACACAAGAATCTAACAATTAATGGGGCAACATTGTCAACCTTTATTTATCCAAAGGTATCCCACCATAGAATCGAGTTAACTTGTCTTATATACTAGCGAATTGATGTTTAATAATCGTAGCGGTAGACACTACAAATTTAATCAACATTCTTTTATTTTGATGTGTTTTCAATTTCCTCTGATTTTACATTATAGGGATCAAGGATTATGACACAGTTTAATACCATAGTAGTTTTAATTACATATACATTCAGAGTAAGAAGAACAAAGCATGAGGGTAAAAATATTATGCTTATGAAAATTAGAAAAAAAAATCTATATTGAGGAGTTCTTTACTTACCAAGAAAAACATGCATTGCTGAGTACCACTTTTAATGAATTTTGACAAACATCCTTCTCTAATGAATTTCTATGAAAAAAAAAGAAAGCTTTTATTTGAACTCACTTTGTATAGTACAAAGTCTAAAAATATGAAAAAAATATCTTGCTAACAAAAGCATGAATAAAATAAACAACAAAACACATGTAGAGATAAATTAAAATAAAGAACAACAGAGTGTTGTTGATTCTTTAGAAGATAGTTTTTTGTTTTTGAATTTGAAGTTTATACTAACCCGTTATGTTTTTTTAATATATTTTTTTGCAAGATTATTACTAAACCAGTACTTTAATTTCGTTACTATATTTGCTGTTAAGAAATAAATGTGTTTTTTTTAAAAAAAACAGAACTGTTTTTTAATATAGCTTGATTCATTACAATAGTAAATACATAAACACATATTTTGAGGAAAATGAACTTTTCAGGAGCAAAAAAAACTTTTTTTCTAATGCTTTTTTACTAACATGCATACTATTATTATCTTTTAATAAAGAATTTATAGCAGAATAGACTAATAAAATTTAATATTGTCCTACAATTTTTTGGACAGTAATCAATTGTAATTGCATAAATAATTTTGATATTCCAAACAAGCAGAATAATTATTTATTTGTATCTTTAATTTCTTCTAGTCATATCATATTTTTACTTTTTTAGACAATTAAATCACTAAAAATGAAATATGCAGCACTAATAAATAAATAGATACAAAGATGTCACTGATTGTCTAGTATCAAGTAATGCAGTAATTGTCTTTCGTATAATTTTTAGAAAACATAGACACTGTCACTAATAATCAAATATGTAGCATTAATAAATAAATGGAAACAAAGATGTCACTGACAGTCTAGTAACAAGTAATGCAGTAATTTTTTTCACACAATTTTTAGAAGTCTTAGACACTGTGCAAATATATCATGAAACAAATTTTCTAAAAGCTTTTTAATGCTTCTAGACCATAAAAAAATTATAGAATAGAACTAAGAAACATTTTAATAAAAGTATTGCATTTTCCACAAATGAAATATTAATCTTAGTCATAGAAGTTAAAAATTTTTTTCTGGTTATTAACTATACTTTAAGTTATCTTTTATTAGTTTTGATTACTCATTTTATACAGGGTGCGTAGCCAAATCTTTGAATCAAAAATAAGCACTTTTTAAAAACTTTTCAAGCACTTTACAAAAATTTTCAAGCACTCAAAGAATTCATATTCAATCAATGATATTATTGAAAAACAAAAACTTTTTATAAACAGTTTTAGCGTTAAAAAACAAACAAAAAGAAACAGGCGTAAATCGAAACAATCAGTACTTCATCACCGAGTGAATTCAACTTGACCCTGAACTCAGAACAAAAGTACCCTTACCCCCTACGTCAGGAAAAGTGTTAGAAGTAAAATAAAATAAACAAGAACAAAATTAAAATAAATGAAAAAGAAAAACATTTCATAAGGATCTGATATTCTCTATCCAAATTGGAGCACTCGGGTTTCGGTTTCAAGTGTGCGCGCATGCGCAAGTCATAACGTAGGTACGACATGAAGTCCGCGTGAATGATTACGTAGCAAACTCCCCATTTTTCGTGAAATGCATGGGATCCACCAGATATCACTGAAGGGAAGAAAAAAAAATTATTTGGAAAGGATTGCACTTTTTAAAAACGTCGGCAGAAAAAAGCACCTTTAAAAGCTTTTAAAAACGAAATCCCCAAAAAAGCACCTTTAAGTACTTTTTACAAACGCTACGCACCCTGTTATGACAGTTTTCTAGAAGCACCTATAAAAACATTTTTCAAAATATGTAAATATTTGTGAAATTTTGAATGTAATTTCATGTGTTTAGTGTTTTCACAATTTTCAAAGGAATGTTAAATTATAATAATTGAAATTATTTCAACAGCATGCAACATAAATTAAGATTCACAAATTCCCTATAATATNTACTAAAACTATTTAATATCACTGAAGGGAAGAAGAAAAAAATTATTCGGAAAGGAAAGCACTTTTTAAAAACGCCAGCAGATAAAAGCACCTTTAAAAGCTTTTAAAAGCAAAATCTCCAAAAAAGCACCTTTAAGTACTTTTTACAAAAGCTACGCACCCTGTTATGACAGTTTTCTAGAAGCACCTATAAAAACATTTTTTAAAATATGTAAATATTTGTGAAATTTTGAATGTAATTTCATGTGTTTAGTGTTTTTACAATTTTCAAAGGAATGTTAAATTATAATAATTGAAATTATTTCAACAGCATGCAACATAAATTAAGATTCACAAATTCCCTATAATATTAATACAAAACTTTGCATAATGTGATAAAATAACGAATTAAAGTTTATAGGTTTTTCATCCATGCCAACACTAAAAAGCACAAAAATAATTTATTGCATACTACAAATTTTTTTAAACACAAAATATTATAATAATAATAAAAACTTTCATAACTTACCCGATTTTTATCTACCAATGAAGAAAAGTTAGTGAAACTGCGCTGAAGTTCAACGAGTTTTGAATAGTTCACCTAAAAAATTGCTTTATTAGGTCTGGCAATAGTAAAACATAATTAAGTATAACATCTAATGACTTTTTGTGCAGTCGAAGTAGTGACTAAAATGTTCAACCAAACTAACTAAAGATTGATATCATTCTATTAAAAACAAAATAGTCATTATCAAAAGGGATAGTATGCCACATGCATTAGCAATAAACTAGATCTATTTATAAATTAAGGTAGCAACATGAACAATTACAAAATCAGCTTTAGAAAAACTTACTAGAGGTAGCATAATATTTTCAAAACTTTCACAAAAAGTTTTAGTTTCATCATACAAACCTAGGGGGGAAAAAGATAGAATTGTGAAACAAAACATATTAATATAATAAATGCAATGATAAAAATAAATCAAACATTGAGTTAGCCATAAAAATACAAGCAACAGCCAAAAATTATTATTTGAAATTAAAAAAAAAGGGAGTAAATAGTTAAATACATCAAACAAACGCAATATTGAAGTAAAAAGTGCTTAAATATGGTAAGATATTTTAGTAAAGTTGAAAACTTCCAAAAGTTTGATTAGCATTTGTCTCATTTCATGATTTTTAAAATAAGTAGATATCGTCAGATATTTTAGTTTATAAATAATTGATTTGGTTTTTCCTGCCTTCATTGTAGTCGTTAAAAAAATTATTTTTTTGCTCCAATCGTAGTTGAAAAAAAATTTTTTTTTGTTCAATTAGATTGAAAAAGTTTTTAAAAAGAGTTGTTTTATTTTCAATATGTATGAAACTTTTGATGAAATTTTTTGACACAATATCACAATGCTCTCCAAACTGAGTGAACGAGCAGTTTTACGATCTAATTATAAGGAATAAGTTGCAAATTATATTCACAACCGTTTTTGCAGTCAATTCTTAATTTTATTACTTTATCACATAACTAATTCATTATTACCAAGTCAAACATTGGTTTTACATAGCTGCCAACTCCACTGGATTTTTCCAGCTTCTCCTGGTCTGCTGGTTTAATTATAATTCTCTTGGTTTTTCTACATTTTAGAAAAATCTAATTGAGTAAGTTTTCTAAAAAAAATCCCTATTGAAATAGAAGTTTATACAGATTATTGCTTGTTTGCTTGTATAAGCATTGCTAATACATAATGAACCATTTATAGAAATCAGTTCAAAACTTTTTGTTTTAAAATTATTAGTTTATTTTTATTCAGAACTCTCTTTATAAATAAATTTTAAAAAATCTTTTAACTATCTTTGATCAATTAAATTCCTATTAATATTCAAAATTATGAGTAAACAGTACATAACAATTTAAATATGTTTAATGTCAATCATAACTGGAAAATATGGCAGTTTTTCTATTTTGATGACTATAAGAATTCTCCATGTGTAAAATATTTAGAACATTAAGCAACAATTATCATGAAATTTATATAATCTACTGGATTTTTTCCCATCAATATTGGCAGCTATGGGTTTGGTCATAACCTTTTTTATCTTCAATTGCATGCAATTATTCTCAATTACTCCAGGGAGCTTAATTTTTCTACTTAGTTGCACGCAATATTATATAGTAAACATAAGGTAACTAATAGTTAGTTAATATTAATTAATATAGTTAGTTAACTAACATAGTTTACCTTTGTTGAAATAAAAAAATAGGCACTTGTGAGAAAGTTTCTAGTATCTTGCAGGACACAAAAAATTTTGTGGCACATATAATTTGATACAATATGATCAAAGTGTGACAATTACACATAGATCTCTGTAGTTAAAAATTTTTAAATTGTTTGTTGCGTTCATTAGTTTATGTAATTTTTTCAAAAATATATCACATTTTAAAGAAAGATTAAATTAGACTATTAAGGGTAATTTGTTCAATTTTAAGAGTAATTTCTATGGTTTAGCTGACATAACTTTGCAAATATTCTCCAATGTTTACGATTCTATATTTAGAGAGTTATTCGTACACTGGATCATATTGGAACAGCTATTCTTTTCAAATGATAGATGAAATTTTCAACAAATCATCAGTACATAGCCTATTACTGTAATAAATTCAATATTATATAACAATATCAATTACCTTTTCAGGAAAAAAATTAAAAACAAAATAATTCAGACTCTATTATTTAAAAATTTTCTTCTAATTTTATATTATACATGCGTTACATTCTTATATTTATTATATCTTATCAGTTTGGGGTGGGGATTACGTAACTAACATAAATCATGCAATATTCAAGAGAAATTTATTTAATTTTTATCAATCAATCCATATTTCACTCAATCTAAACTCAATATATTACCAATCTATACTTTATTTTTTACAAACTATGTCTTAATTTCAAAAAAAAAAATCCAAATGGTAGTAAAAAAAAAAGAAAGAAAAAAGACATAACTAACATTAGGAGACCTAACAAAATTTATTTAAAAACCAAGCTTAATAAGAACATTTTCCGCAAAAGTTTCCAGTATTTAACACCAAGTGCTTTAATTTACTCCTTGCTGAAATTCAAAATGCAAATACCTCAATATTATTTTAAAAAACCCGTAAAATTGTTTGTTTTTTCACTATTTAATATTGAAGACATTTTATCTGAATAATTTTATACACTCTTTATTTTTTTTACGTATGTTTTTTTCATAGTTATATTTTTGAAAGTTTATGACTGATTTAAATTGCTTTGTACCAGACACTCTTGCTAGCCACCTTTGAAACATTAAATTTTATATTTACATTTTCTTAACTCTTTTGTGCTTTAAGTGTTTTTATTTATTTATTTACTATTATTATTATTATTTATAATATATACACTCAATACTGTAGTCACTGACATGAACTTCGGAATCCAAAAGTTACTTGGTCTTCTGTGTGTGTTTCTTTTTTTTATTTTCTATTATGTTATGTACTAAATGTATTTCATTCATCAAAAATAATAACAAAATAGATTAGAATATCATAGACAAAAAATGGCAAATCATAGAGCTTAGTAAGTACAAAATATCAATATTAATTCAAAAACACTGAATATAAAACAAAACAAGAAACTTNATCAAAAAACCCTCCGGCCCTGGGGAGACACACGCTAGAGAGACTGCCGGCCTCAGCGGTAAGCGCGCTTTCGCGCTTTGCGTCGCGAAAGGGTTAAATAGGGCATTGCATATATATAGCATTTTAATTTGGTCATAGCACTAAAAAGCTTGGATAAATTATAAATATTGACCAAACGTATTCTTCTTCTCAAAATATTTGAAATGTAAAATATATTGTTTTCCGTTTTTGTGAAAGGTTTTATGAAAAGTCTAACGGCTATGTCACACACATATAATTTTTTCAAACTTTAAGCAACATAACACATATCAGCATAAATTTTATACTTACTTAGTTTAAAAAAAAAAATTATAGATAAAGTAGCCATGCTATAAAAGGAGTCCTTCTTAGGGAAACAATCACTTTGAAATTACCATGCTGGTTGTAATAACACAGCTTGAGACAAAACATATGGGGAACTAAACTACATAATACATAAAAAAATAAACATTTACTAATCAGATGACTTTGTGCTGTGACCTATATTTCATTTTGAGAACTACTTCAAACAGAAACACATAAGCAATGACAATTTCTACACACAATTTAAATAAAAAAAATAACAAGTTAAAATAATTTTAAAAAAAAGTAAAAGTGTGCATTTAATCAACAGAAACTAAAGTAGTAACTTAAGTAAGCGTTGTAAATCTTTATAGTCATCATTAGATATGTAATAGTAAGATCGATACATAATGATTATGGTCTACTTGAAAGCTTTATACTTCAACGAATTTTCATGACCTTCAAACAATTCTTTATTGAAACACAATTTAAGTACTTCGAGGAGAAAGGTAAAATCTTTAAAAGAAATCAACTCTAAATTAATTTTAACTTATTAAATAATACAATATTTATTTGATAGAAAATAGAATTTTTTGGCTCAAAAGTCACATTTTGCTATACTGAATAAAACATAAATAGCATTGTAATACTCCATCCATGTGAGGTGATCGCAGTTTTTATACTGCACCCAGTTTGCACAACCACTGACTAAAATGTTTCCAGTGGTAGACAGATTATAGATTAGAACCTGTTTACAGTTGGGTCAACCATGGGAGGTTCCAAACTCCATATATCACAAATGCCCATCAAAAAAATCCCCTACAAAGGGGAGGTAGTTCCAATGCTTGATTTAGGAATTCCCTTATCTTCTGGGTGAGATACAAAAGAACAAAGCAACTTGAACTTTGATATTTACAAATCTGTCATGGATCAAGTGTGCAATACTAAAAGTAAAATAAAATAAGCGTAATAATAACAAAAGTGTCATTGTGGCATCTTGGGGGTTACTTAAAGAAGACACAACTGAGAGCTTTAAAATACTTACAGTTCCTAGACAAATTATTAGACACACTGTAAGATTCTATGTCAAATCTTAATTATCTGGTGATACTATACAGCATTATTGCTTTTACGCAACTGAAACCGATTTGCACTTGTTTATGCTCGTGTATCAATTGGTTGAATTCAATGATATATAATATAAATTCGACACTGTGATAAATTCGATGATATATTAAATAAATATAGAATATTTATTATATAAGGTAATACATTAGTATATTATAATAATTAGACCAAATTATTAGATGCACTGTAGTGTTTTAATAATTGCCTGTTTTTGCACGAGTTTACAAGCAATACTTTTATATTTAAACATACATTTACATTTTTATTTCGGAGATTTTTTATATACTTCCTATTGGTATTTATTTTTAACGTATTGCATTACAATGTTAACAAATTGATACACAAACATAAACAAGTGCAAACCGGTTTAGATTTATACTAACTTTTAACCAATGAGTGATAATAAACCAGACGAAAAGCTGGACGAAGAAGGAAGGATGACAGAGGCAAGTAACACACTTTTTGTGTTTCAAATTGTTGATAGAATTGGTTCAATAATTGATTCTGACTCAAATCATCATACAGCATTTCAAGAAGTTTTGGTAATTTCTTTAAATACGTTGAATGCATCTATATAAAAAAAAATTGGATTAAAAAAAAAGATCTCATAAAACATATAAATATTATTACAGGAAAGTGAAAGAAATTATTTTGTAAGCTTCGTTGAAAATCAAGTCCCAATTTTAGGAATTTAGTAGAGAGTTGGCAGACTTACCTTGATCATATCTTTTTGAGCATAAAGAATGTTTGCCACTCCTTTAATAACATTCTGATTTTTATTAACTGGACGACCTTCCCTGAAAAATACGGAAAAAATCAATAAAAGTTCTAAAGATTATATTCTGCATGATAGTTAAAATTACAAAAGGAAACTTAGTTTTATGTGAGAAAGTTACAACTCCTGATTTAAAAATTATTATAAAGATGTTTCTAAAGTAACAAAATGCACACTGCCAAACTATTAAATTATCGCCACTATTAAACAATTCTTTGTTTAATACGTAGAAAACTATGCCAGCATTAAATCATAATGTACAGAATTAGAAAGAATAGGTTTTCTAACAAAAAAAGTATAGACATCAAAAAAAATTTTCTGTTACATTTTATTCCAGAAGGAATTTGTTCTAAAATTTGATCATGTTAAATCAACCAAATATTTTTTAAGATTAAAACATGCAAAATCATTTATATGTATACGGATATATATATCAGTGAATTCTAGGGATGTAACGAATATTTAGCAACTATTCGGCCCTTTTACTGAATATTTGGCCAGATATTCGGTCAAATATTTTGCAAAGTATTTCTTGGGGGGAAATTTGAATAGATTTAATAAAGAATAATTTAAAATTGCATTTTTCTACAACAAATTATTACAAATTGTTATTACATATATTTGTTAAGTTTTAAAGCTTTTTAATTTATGTTCTGAAAGACATATGGAAAAGAAAAACTTGGAAAAATTGAGACTAGACTACTTTATACTTAACCAAAAAATTTGTTTCTGTTTTTTTTTTTTTTTTAAATTTAGTTGATCACAATATATCCTGCTTTATCCTGGGTTTTAAAATTAAGTTAGCAGTTATTTTAACTTTCTAGTAATTTATAAGTGTTGTTTTTATTTCATTTGATTAATAAGTAATCAATTGTATTATATCATTTTATTTCTTTAATTAATTAATTTTTTTAATTAATTTTGTTTTACATTAGTTAATTTGGTGATTTTAATAAATCTTTAGTTTATTATAATTTGGCTTAACTTCAATAAAAATTGGCTTAACTTTAATTTTTTTTTCAAAATTAATTTCACGTTTTACCATCGCATGCTTAATATTTTTATATCTATATTACTATTCACTTTTTTCTAAATAAAAAAATCTTAACTTATTTCGTCTAATTTTTTTAAAAACTTTCCTCAGTTGATTTAAATATGATTTAATACCAATTAAATACAGATTATTTGTATAACATTTTTTATAATTTATTATTTTTTTCAGGATGACTTGGTTGTTGAAAAGTTGTTATTTTATTTTATGAATTAAGTTCTACATTTACTTTTTATTACCTAGCAGCTTTGTTTCATATTTTAGGATAGTCGGTTTATTTTAGAGATAAGGATTAAAAATATAAGGATCATATCCTTTATTTATTTTTGCTTGTCTGTTAAGCACTATCTTTTTAGTTATTTATGCTTTAGTTTAATAAATATGGATTAATTGAATAAATAGATATTAATTTTAATTAAATATGGATTGCTTATTGTTAGTTTCTTTTTATATGTTATAATATGTCTTTAAAAATAAATGTTTTAAGTTAAAAATATGCTGTTTTTTTTTAATAATTTTCTTTTTAAACTAGTATCACTCAAGTAAGTTTTTCAATCTTATTTGGTGCTTAGCTTTTCCATATTTTTTTATCGGCGCCAAAATATTGGTTTTTTGCGTTTTAATTTTAAAAAATGTTCTTAGGTTGATTAAATGCATTTACTTCAATTATACCCAAATTATTTATTATCATTATTATTTTTTTATTTATTATCTTTATTATTATTTTTTTTACAACAACTTCGTACTTATCAAAATTTTTTTTTTAAATAACTCCCAGAAAACTCTCCTTGACTTATAATCCCTTTCATTCACGTTTATAATTCTGACAATTTATTATTTCTAATTAGATTTAAGTACAGTTAAAATCGCTTGAATTTTTTTAATAAAAATAATTTATTAATACGTTCTTAGATTTGCAATTTTATTTATGTTTCTAATTTACATTCTAATTAAATGAAAAATTTTTCGAAATTTCTTTTTTCAAAAAAATTATGGAATTTTACACATTCTACGTGAAAATCAGGGAAAATTTTTCTTCTTATTGAGCATGAATCTAGTGAACATTATTCCTTTATGGTCACTTTTTTTTCTCAAAAAACAGGCAATGTGAAAAAGTTATGTTGTGATTTTTATCTTTAAATTTATTTTGTTTAAAAATTAAGAAAATTTTTTGTTTTGGTTTCTATCTAGCTTTTCCTTTTTTAAAAACATTGGTTTTTATAAATGTTTTTATTATGATGTGGCAATTAAGAGGGTTTCTATTGGACTTGATTCTTCACCTTTTTTTTAAAAAAAATATGGTACTTGGAATACTGAGATATTTAGCTCTAAAATTTTCCTTCAAAAATTACAATTGATTCTTATTTTTTCTGTTTTGCTTTTGCATATAATCTTTTTTATGGGCATTTTTATGATAGCATTGTGTTTTTGTAGATTATATCTCTCTTAACTTTCAAAGGATAATATTTTTTTTTTGGAAAATATTATTTTTAGAACTGTAGTTTGGTTTTAAAAATTTAGTGGATATTTTTTTCTATTTCCCTTTTTTTCAACTTCACCACTTCAGCTTTTTTAATTAAATTGATTCAGTTTTTAATTTATCTTAAATATTACCAATTATCTTAAGATCTAATTATCTTACATATTTTTATTATATTTTTGTTTTTCTTTATCTCATACCAATAACATAGCTAAGTTTTGATTATTTTCTAATAATGACTAAACTTATTTATATATAAAACTATTTATATTTATTTATATACATAAAAAGTCATTAATAATATTTATTAATGATTTAAAAAAACAAATGTTGCCATTCTAGGGATGTAACGATTGCCATTCTAAGGATGGCCGATTTTTTTGGTCAAATATTCACTATTTGGCTAAATCACTATTCGTTACATTCCTATTATATTCCACTACCCGAATAATTTGATTATTTGAATAGTGAAATATCTGGTACAGCTAAAAAATCACAATAATTAAAAAGGAAGAACAAACAAACAAACCAAAAAATTAGAGGAAACAAACATCAAAAAAATGTTCTATTACTTTTTATTCAAGAAGGAATTTGTTCTAAAATTTGATCATATTCAATCAACTAAATATTTTTAATATTAAAATATATAAAATCATTTATATGTATACAGATAAATACCAGTATATTTCCTTACCCAAATAATTTGGGTAGTGGAATATCCAGTAGAGATGCAACGGATATCCGGCAGGCAGTATCTATCTGGCTGATCCGGAAAGTAGGCCGGATATCCGGTTATGGCAGGATATTATGATTATCCGTCAGTAACATTTGGCTCAAAATAAAACATTGTGTAGAAAGGTAAAAATGAAATATATATATATATAATTCATCACAATGATGGTAGAAAATGTAATTTTAACATAAAAATCAATATTCTTTTCAATTTTTTTTATACTCATAGTGTTTATAAAATAAAGAAATTATACTTAAAATATGTATTAGGTTTTAGCTTTTATCTTGGTCACGCCTACAACAGCCATGTTATACTGACCATTGATATAAATATTCTTTAAGTATGTTAGTATTTTGAAAGTTATGTAATATAACATAGTATGTAGTATATAAAAATATGGTATACAATTACAACAGAATATATTTACTATACGGATATACATATTTATTATATTATAATTATATAATAGCCAACCTCTTTGATTTTTAAAATAAAATGAAATTGGCAATCTTATCAAATAAAAACATATAAATATTAACTAATAAATAACTAATTTCATTAAATTTTTTT